TTTGTAATAAAATAAATTAATTTAAATATTCTAAATAATATATTTCGAATTGAATAGAATAGGTATAAATAATAAAATAACTGGAAATATTTGGTTAAAAGGGTTTATATTCAGTGTAAAATCAAACTGCGCTGTGAAGCATCAGTTTTGTATACAATGGTCTTTTAGACTCTTTTTTATAAGTTTGTGTGAATATTTTACTTTCATGATACAATCTTATTTTATAAACAATAGCAGCAATATAAAAATAATAGCATTTAATAACAAAAGTGAATGATCAACTTGTACTGATAATAAATAATCCCCAGGGTGTATTGCAAATTCTATTATAATTTAAAAAACAAATTAAAAAAAAAAAAAAAAAAATTAATTTATATTTTTTTTTTTTTTTATTTATGTTTATTTACTTTTTTATTTTATATTTTTATTTTTTATTTTTATGATAAACATTTTTTATTATTATTATTATTATTTTGTACAATTATTATTTGAAATTGATAATAAATTAAGAAAAACAATGAATTAATTCTTTTGTACAAAAGTCTCCAGCACTGCGAGCTTGGCACTTCTCCCAAGCTCGCAGTGAACGTTCAACGGGTCCCTAAAAAAAGTGATCGGTCCAGCCCTAACAACTACCGTTCTTCCTATATTTTATTATTATTGGCAAAATGTTTAAAAACAGTATGAAGCATATTATTTCATAAATTATAAATTCTCCCACTAATGTGGGAAAACCAAAATGATTTTTTAATGGTAACACTGATTCTAAATTACAATTATCAGTGTTTTATTTCAATTATAGCCTTATTTACGATATTATCAATACAAAAACCATTAACTTACACGTGAAAAGTAATTTCGCATGATTTATTAATGTTTTGTAACCTTGAATCGCATTCTTTCACTACGCATTTAGCCATTTTGGCGATTGTTACTGTCATGTGTCGCTATGTTCAACTCGGTTGACGCCACATTGAATACTGAATTGACGTTTGCTACGCATATGCCTGTGGACAGATGTGCAGTAGCAACGATTTTAGGCGGTAATTACTCATCTATGTAAGTATTATATCAATGCTTCGAAGGCAATTAAAGGATCCGTATCTTCCCTTAAGTCACGTCTACACTTTTTTCTTGAAGAAATATCGTTATCACACTCCAAAAATTCGAACAAAGTTAATTTGTTAGTCATCTAAAAAACCAAAATCGTATTAAAACAAAAAGCGCTTTTTGTCACATTCTTTGACATTAAAATTAATATTACGAAATAAAATTACCATATAGTGGACAAATTTTACTGAAAACTCAATTTTAACACACAAATACGCAAAAACAATTCAGTTTAGGCTAGTAAATAGCAACTTTTATTAGATCGCAGTTGAGCCGATTATTTTGACAGATCAATAGACGTTTAGTGAGCACAGAGTACATTGTAATATACTGAAATTAGTGAGCTTGTGGTACAGTTTGTAATATGATATGCGGTCATGGTACGAATTTCAATGCGTGAAACAAGAAAAGCGATTCAGTTTAGGTCGGTTTCATTTGTTTACATTGTAACTTGAAACTGAGCGTTCTTTATCGACGTCATGGTACGAATTAATAAAACAATTGAGTTTAGGTCTGCAATTGGATCGCTATAAGAGATCATGGTAGGCCTGCTGGTCGTCATTTAAATTTAGGCAAGTACAGCAGCGAGTGATATGTGTCTATAGTTACCCCTGTCAGTGATATCACCAGTGTTGTCCTTAACAATAGGCACTACTATAGTTCGCATCATCGCCTCAGGCTAATAACTATCACCCATACAGAAGGGGTACAGCATAGCTAGTACTCTGGGAAGGTGCGGCCCGCGTGTCGGAGGTGCTCGATGCTGAGCCCATCGCTGCCAGGCGACTTTCCGTTCCGCATGGAATTTATAGTCTGAGCGATTTCCTGTCTCGAATTTATTTACTTCACTACCGGGTGTAATGGAAACACACAAGTTATAACAGAGAGCTCAACGAGTTTTATTCCTTAGTTCTCATAATATAAACTAATATATGTAGTAAACTAATGTATTTAGTTTAGTAGTTTATTTTTTAGTAAACTAATATATTCTCAAATGATTACATCATCATTATCCAGATGGTGATCCATCATCCATCGTCCTACACATGATACATATATGATATATTAAAGAAGTTTCTGCTGTAAATTGATTCTTACATTTAGGTATGAGGATGAAATATTTTCCCACCAGAGTGTGTACGCATATGTCTAATTAAAGTACGCTTTTCTGAGCATTGTTTCTTACATATGTTACAATGAAATAGTTTCTCACCAGTGTGTGTACGTATGTGTCTAATTAAATTAGGCTTTAGTGAGAATTGTTTCTTACATATATTACACTGAAATGGTTTCTCACCAGAGTGTGTACGCATATGACTAATTAAATAACGCTTTACTGAGTATTGTTTCTGACATATGTCACAATGAAATAGTTTCTCACCAGTGTGTGTACGCATATGTTTAATTAAAAATTCCTTTGCTTTGAATTGTTTCTTACATATGTCACAATGAAATAGTTTCTCACCAGAGTGTGTACGCATATGTCTAATTAAATTACCCATTTGTGAGAATCGTTTATTACATGAATCACAATGATATGGTCTCTCACCAGTGTGTGTACGCATATGAATAGTCATAGAACATTGCCATGAAAATTGTTTATTACATATATTACACTGATATGGTTTCTGACCAGTGTGTTTATGCTTATGTTTAATTAAAAATTCCTTTGTTTTGAATTGTTTCTTACATATATCACAATGAAATTGTTTATCACCAGAGTGTGTACGCATATGTCTAATTAAATTACTCTTTAGTGAGAATTGTTTCTTACATGAATCACAATGATATGGTCTCTCACCAGTGTGTGTACGCATATGCATAGTCATATAACTTTCGTATGAAAATTGTTTATTACATATATTACACTGATTTGGTTTCTTATGCATGTGACTAGCTAAATATTGAATGCCTAAGAAACTTTTGTTACACATATTAGAGTGATGTTGTTTCTGAGCGGTGTGTGTAATATTCCCAAGTGAGAGATCTCGTGAAGAGTCCTGTGCGAGAGCATGATGCTTCAGGTTGCTGGAGGTTACATCTTCTAGATTCTTCTGATCATCTTGCGTAGATGCCTTCGGAGTAGGATCAACTAGATAATAAAAATGGCAATTACAGTGTGATTTTGAATATAATTGGAGTAAATAGCACCACAGATAAAAATGCTTTAAACACAATATTTTTGAGGATATAGTTTGCTTTAAAAAAAAGTAGTTCCGACAGTGAAGACTTATACTTTTATGCAGAGATGTCGGTAACGGTAACAGCGTCGGAGTTTAATGGTTTTTCCCATTTAATACGTGCTTTTGTTTGTTGTTCAAAAATGCCCAACGCTCCTTAAGAAGTTTTCACTTCAATAAACCATTTATATTTCGGTAATTCTGTTACGAGGAGAGTTTAACAATTTTTGACAAAAGTGGACTTTTTCTGCGCACACGCATACCAACGCACACGCAGACGGACACGTCCACACAAAATTAACTTGCATCATCAACTAGTACTTGTGTCGAATCTAGTCGCCGTTTGTGTCCCTTGTTTAAATATCTATACAGTACCCGGCGCCACAGGAATCGCTAACATCACAAGAGTTGTTAATTTAAACAAAAACATACGCAGTATACATACTTGTCATGTCTCCGGTCTGTTCCTCCTTGACAGTAATTACAAAATCCTTTGAGTCTGCAGACTGTACGTTGTCAAAGACACTATTTTCCTCCAGAGCATCCTCACCGATATCTGTAAACAACATGGAGACCTAAGTGAGAGTCGATAATTAAGAAGAAGTTTGTTTTTTTTAATGGAACAGGGGGCAAACGAGCAGACGGGTCACCTGATGGAAAGCGACTATCGCCGCCCATGAACGCCTGCAACGCAGGAGTCACAATCGCGTTGCCAGCCTTCGAAGAAGGAGTACGCTCTTTTCTTGAAGGTTTAAAGGTCGTATATACCGGCCGGAAATACCGCAGCCGATAACTTGTTCCACAGATTGGTAGTGCGAGGCAAAAAGTGTCTTGAAAAGCGCACAGTGGTGGGGCGCCAATTATCCAAGTAGTGGGGGTGAAAATTTTGCCGTGTGGACCGATGGCGGGAGGTTGCGGCCGGTATTAGTCCGAACAATGATTCCTCGGAGCACTCTCCATGATATATATGATAGAGAATGCAGAGTGAAGCTACATCTATACGTAACGCCAACGAATCGAGCCGGTCGCAAATCTTTTGGCTATCGACGATTCGAGTCGCTCTTCTTTGGATTCGATCCAGAGGGCAGTACTCCATAGTGTAAGTACACTTACTTACTACCGGCGGTAGTCACTTACTGTCCGGTCGGTCCGGCCCGTTCGTGCTGAAGCATATCTCTCCCACGACAAGTGAAGAGAGAAAGAGAAGAGGTGTTCACAAATCCATACTAATATTATAATTGCAAAAGTGTGTCTGTCTATCTGTCTGTCTGTTACTCTTCACGATTAAACTGCTGAACCGATTTAGCTGAAGTTTGGTATAGAGATAGTTCGAGTCGTAGAAGTTTTTATGGGAAATCAATAACCGCTGAACCGATTTAAATAAAATCCGTATGGAGAAGGCTTGATTTTATACATAGGATACCTTTTACCGCCATAAGCGACATACACGCGGGCGGTGCCGCTAGGGATTTTCCGATACCACCTAAGTATCGATACTTACTCATTTCGATAATACTCAAATCTTTTTTCGATACTACACAAATAAGTACTCCTCAAGTATCGATACTTACTGATATCGATACTTTTTGGAACTTTTATTTTATTATTTTGAGGGTGCTATCAATGAACGTTGAAGGATAATAATTTAAACAAAATTGAGACGAAAAAAACTATTTATTTATTATAAATGTTTATTAGGCTTATTATAATTTAAACAAAAAACTTTTCAGCATTAAGATTGCCCAAAAACAGTAACTGTTCAAGGTATTTAGAAGACAATCTGTTTCTTGTTTGTGTCATTGTTGCACCGGCTTTGGAAAAAAGGCACTCGCTAGGAACTGATGTTGCAACAACAATTAAATATTGCTGTGCATACTTGTACAGACAAGGAAACACCAACTTCATGTCATCCCATTCTGCAAATGGGTTGCTTTTAAGAGAAACTACTGGATTTGATAAATAAAGAGAAACTTCATCTCCCTGATGAGATTTTTTTTTCTTCTTGTGCCCATGTGCTAACTCTTTATGATGTTTCCAAAAATCGTATTCAGGTGGTGCAGTAGATGAGACATCATCTTCTGACTCACTTGGGCTACTTAGTTGTCCGACAACCATGGTTCTAAGTTTTTGAATAGCTCTTCCGCATGCAGAGGGGTCTTGGAAATGCAGATTTTTAAACCTTGGGTCTAGAATTGTTGCAATGGCTGCATGATCGTTTAATTCAATCATCCCATACCTCCTTTTCAGCTCTCTCAATAAAACATCCTTACATTCTTTAACGATAGCGGAGTTTGGAGTGATACTATTCAGTTCTGTAGTTAAGCAATTAAGCATTGGTATAATTTTGGAGATTGTTACATACTTTTGGCCCGATGATTCTCTTGTTACATATTCAAAAGGCTTTAATACAGTTGTAAGCTCATTCAAGGTTTCCATTTCCACTGCACTTGGCAAATTTGGAGCCACTACACTCTCAATTACAATTTCTGATATTACTATTCTTAACTTTAGAAATCGCTCTAACATAAAAAAAGTTGAGTTCCACCTAGTTCTTACATCTGCAATAAGTTTTAAAACTGATCCTGCCGAAACATTATTACGCATTTGGATTTTTCGTAGCTTATCCGACTGCACAACACTATTTTTTATCCAATTAACAATTTCTCGTACTTTTATAACAGCTGATTTAACACTGGGCAACTTTAGTGCCTCTTCAACTACAAGGTTAATAGTATGGGCAAAACACGGTAAATGTTTTTTTTCGCCTAAAGACATTCGTATGGCAGCCAACATTGAACTGGCATTATCTGATACAGCAGCACGAATTTTGGTAAGTGGAATATTCCATTTTTTCAAAATATCCAGCAGGTTTTCCGATATGTATTCAGCTGTATGTCGCTCTCTTAATGCACGAGTTGCAAGATAATACATACACATTTGACCATTTTCTACAAAATGTATGGTGACGCCCATGAATCCTACTTCATTCCTTGTCTCTGTCCATATGTCCAGCGTTAAACAGAAATTGTCTATCTTGGATAATTTGGACTTACAAATAGTTATACAAGCTTCGTACTTTTCGGTAGTCATTTTCTTTAAATACTTTGCGCCAGGAACTTTAAAAGTAGGCTCCAGTTCTTTTACAAGTCGTAAAAAGCCTTCACCTTCAACTATATTAAATGGACGCATATCTTGACAGATAAAAAATATCAATGCTTGAACAATTCTGTTATACTTCGTACCACCAGCTAAAAATAAAACTCAATTTTAATACATGTAATATTAAATTAAATATTTATATTTTTTTCTTTAACACTAATACTATATGTATTAATATTATTTTGCTAATATTTAATTAAATATCTATTTATTTACCTTTATTAGATGAAATTCGTTCAAACGCATTCTTTATTGAATTGCTCAGACATAGCTCCCTTGCAGTCTCCGAGTACATACTTGTTAATGTGGTTACACTAGAGCAATCATCACGATCTTCTGAAATTTTCGATGTTGATGCTTGGGGTTGATCATCTTCCATTAAATGCCTTGAGTTGGCCAACACTATTGTATTTTTTGAACTGAAACATAATAACAAAAATTAACACTTGATAGATCGATAATCTTCAAAGTATCGATAATACCAACTCCAACACTACCGCCATTTAACAACACTATTACACTAACAAAAACAAACACATAACCTTAAATTGTTTAAATCGTATTTATACAAAGGAAATATCTCATCACCGGTCATCAATTATTATTCATATATTATTAATATATAGACAAGACAATCACAGTACCACTGCTGCAAAACTATTTTTTATACAAATAAAATAGGTAGGAGTAGGTAGGATTTTTTATTTAACATCTTAGGAAAGCAATCGCAAAAAAAAGAAAAGTTTAGAATCCTACCTTTCGTTGGACTTATTATTTTCTTTTTTCTGTAATTTGCCTTTGTCCACAGAAATTCCATGAGTTTTAGAATGCTTGAATAAATTCGACGTATTCCCACAATACTTCACAGACTTAAAACACTGTTTACATTTTGCAATTGTTTCGTTTGTTTGGTAAAATGTGTCCATATTATAGATTTTGGTGGTGCCATGATAACATTGGAATAAACCGATGAATTTGATGATTACAATTAATAAAATTACTTGTAAGCAATCACTTAACACTTTCACAATGGCGGAATGGCGAGATGATTTGCGAGCGGGTGCGGGTGTTTTCTTCTCTCGCTTTCGGCTCGGGCGGGCTCGGCTGAAGTCGGACGAATTCGGCTAGCCCAGCGCGAGACAACGCGTCACTCACGCCGCCACGCGACGAATACCGGTAACTCGGTAACCTGATTAGCTGACTGTTTTTGCCTCGTTTTTGCTCTCTTAGTTCTGTATGATGCGTTCTCGGTTTTTTTTATTGTATTCGGTTGTTTTGCTGATTCGATTCGATACCAAGTATTTTTGTTTCGATACCGATTATGTATCGCAAAATTGATTCGATACAATAAATACTTGGTATCGAATCAAAAGTATCGAGTACCTACTCGTATTTATTAGTATCGGAATATCCCTAGGTGCCGCGGGCGAACGCTGCTTTACTAATATAATAAATTGTAGTTTAAAAACCTAAAAAACACGCTTTTGTAAATAGCCGAACTGAAAAGACTTTTTTTTTTCTATAAGTTTATAAAGAAAAATCATTTCATCGTAAAAATGCGTGGGGTGCTAGATCTCAATTGTTGTAAAGTATTTTATAGCCAGATATTGTTAAAAGTTAAGTTATTAGAGAATATAATTATAAAATATGTTTTGACGATAAAATGATTTTTCTTTTTAAAGTTATAGAAAATTGTTTTAATACTCTTTAGTTCATCATCATCATCATCATCAACATCAACAGCCTTTACTTGTCCACTGCTGATACGCCTCTCCTTCCCTTAAGTTATTTTTTTTTCTTTTTAGTTCGGCTAATTACAATAGTGTGTTTTTTATTTTTTTTAAACTATGATTTTTTTTTGTGCTTTTTTAGTTTTTAATGCTGATTATTTTCTTATTAACACAAAAAGTAATAAGTAAGTAAATCACATATGTTTCAGCACACGCCTCTTAGTGCGTAGCGAGGGACACTACCGTATGTTTGGGTATGGAAAAAGCCGTTAATCCTGTAGATCCTGATAAGCGGCCAAATTTATCAAATATTTGTCTTGTCATCAGTCCTTGATAAGTGTGGGGAGTTTCAATTTAATTCGACGTTTTGAAGTCGGTCAAAATCACGTTCGAAGATTGCGTTACATACAGACATTTATACAAAGCTAATAAAAGCTGTTAAAAATAAATGGATACAGATACGCGGCACTCCACTAGCACATCCCTTTGATCCACCTCGTGTTTGCGTCACGTAAAGAGACCAAATAATTAAATGTTAAATATTACCTTCACAATCATTTGGTTCAAGTTTGATTTCACACTTCAGAGCCTCCACACCAACATTGTCTGCATTCATCTCCAGATCATGTCCTATGCTCAAGTGTACGACATTGTCTATGGTTAGTTTCTTCTTATCGTTAATTCCTTGCAGTTTCACTTGTTCGGACTGTTGGCAAGGTAAATCATTAACATATTTAAAACTTTCGGAGCCACATTACTATATTGTAAAGAAAAAAAACTGTAGTATTTTTTTTTTAATTTCTATAAAAAAGGCATAAATCTGCAAAATGGGGTCAAGTGATAGTCTATCCTTTGGTTTAGGCGCAGAATGTCCAGTTTGCAGAATGGCCAATATTCCTCATAACATTGTCATGTTGGGTTGCCCTAGTTATAAAAAATATGGTAAGAGGCAAATCCCCAGGTCACGACAGTCTTAGCATCGAGCATTTGCAGTATGCGGGCATACATCTACCGAGGGTGCTTGCATTATTGTTCAACATGTGTATTAGTCATAGCTTTTTGCCAGACGATTTAATGTATACAGACGTTGTGCCTATCTTAAAGGATAAGACTGGCGATTTGTCGAATATGTCTAATTATAGGCCAATTTCACTTGCGACTGTTATTGCTAAGGTGCTCGACAGTTTGCTTGACCGGCAGTTGGAACAGCACCTACAATTACATGACGCACAGTTTGGATTTAGGCCCGGTTTATCAACTGAGAGTGCTGTTCTCTGTCTCAAGCAGACTGTCCAGTACTATACAGCTAGAAATACACCTGTATACGCTTGTTATTTAGATCTCTCAAAAGCTTTGACCTTGTTAATTATGACAGGCTGTGGCAAAAGCTACCATGTGATACGAATCTACCACGTGAGATTGTATCTCTATTTAAATATTGGTACAGTCAGCAGAAAAATAGGGTAAGATGGTCGGATGTGCGGTCGGACATGTACAGGTTGGAGTGTGGCGTGAGGCAAGGTGGTATATCCTCGCCTCGTCTCTTTAATCTGAATATGAATGGGCTGATCGGTGAGCTTAGTAGCACAAACATAGGTTGTTCTATTGACGGTGTGTGCATAAATAATATAAGCTACGCTGATGACATGGTGCTGCTGAGCCCATCGATTGGTGCACTACGTAGGTTGATAGGTATCTGTGAGACATATGCGGCGAGCCATGGTCTCAAGTATAATGCCAAAAAGAGCGAGTTTATGATCTTTAAAGCTGGTACCAAATGCTACTCAATTGTACCTCCAGTCACTCTTTGCGGAACTCCTTTAAAGAGAGTTTATAAGTTTAAGTACCTTGGGCATTGGGTCGCCGATGACTTATCAGATGACCTTGATATTGAGAGGGAGCGTAGGGCGCTGTCTGTCCGGTGTAATATGTTGGCTCACAGGTTCGCACGTATAGTCAGTCCTTCTACACGTGCAGCCTGTGGACTAACTTTACGCAGCGGGCGTACAGCGCACTACGCGTCCAGTACAACAATGCTTTCAGGATGCTATTGAATCTGTCGAGGTTTTGCAGTGCATCAAACATGTTCGCGGAGGCACGTTGCGATGACTTTTATGCAATCATAAGGAAGCGGAGCGCGTCAATGTCCAATCGACTGCTAAGCAGCACCAATGGCATCCTGAGAGTATTGTCCGAGAGGTGGGATCTTCCAATCCTACAAAGGTGGATGCGTCTGCATGCTAGCGCATCCCCACGATTTATTTTTTAATTTGTTTTTGTGTTAATGTAGAACTAACATAGTTGTAAGATTACTGTTACTAACATATCTATGGACTAATGTCTGAAAATAAATAAATTTATTTATTAATGAGTAGTCAAGTTATATCTCAAAATCATAATAAGTTTTATATTTGTCATATGGCGTGTCACCTTAAACAATTATAAAAAAAAAACACCTTTTCAAAATTACGAGAAAAACTCGTTTACACTAAACACGTACAGTTTGGTTCCGGAACATGGAATAGAATAAAACATATCAATACAGTAAAAAGATACTTAGAAAGTGCACTACAAATGTGTCTGCGGTTGAACCCAACAATTGCCTGTACTTTTAGATAGATTTTAAAACAGGAAGTAAAACTTCACCAGCAAAATTGGCAATGCTCCTTGTGTGTGTGCTGTGCCTTATGAAATTACCTTCCGAATATCTTTTAAACAAAAACATGGCTTTCTTATAAAACAGATTTCCATGATGTAAACTAGGAACAAAAAAAAAAAATTATTGAGTTGCATTGTCTTCAGGAAATGATGGTTTTTAATATAATATAAATATTTCCTTTTGTAATGAAGCACATGTTGAAAGGAATAAGGAGCCCAAAAGATTCAGTTTGCACCTTTTGGTAAACTGATAACATGAACAATAATACAGACAATATATATATGTTTTATTTATATATTTTTACCACATTCACACAATGCCATCTAGTCCCAAACTAAGCAGAGCTTGTACTATGGGTACTAGACAACTGACATAAATACATATTTACTTTTTTTTTTGTAAATATATACATATTATATATAGAAACACCCAAACCACATCAAACATTAAATGTTCATGCACACAAATGTTTGACTTGAGCGGGAATCGAACCCGCAACCTTTGGAATAGTAGTCCGCTACACACAGTACCACTATGCCATCCGGTCGCTGAATCAATAATTATCTATTGTGTGTGTCTAGTCTGTGTGCAGTGTGTATGGTTCCTTTAGAATTTGCCGATATCTTAAATCTCTATCTATCTACAAAACTTTTATATTGGATCCAGTTATATAGATAGATTTTTATCTGAGATTTAGGATCTAATCATTACAGGATCAGGTTAAACAAAAACCTATTTTAAAATAATAAGCTTTCATTAACTACAAATAGTAAACAAACCAATTGAGGATTTATTGTATTTAAATAGTTTCACTAAATTGTAATCAAGTAATTAAAACCCTCTAGAAAACATCATATTGTTAAAAAAAAAAGCAATATAATGTTTTGAAAGTATACCCACCTTGTTACTGTTCAGCATTTGTGTGAACAGCTCCTCACTCTGGAGACAGCTCTTCCTCAACTCGTAGCAGTTCTTGAGCCTTGCACAACATATGTAGCAAGCCAGTACAGGCCTGCTGTCTGAAGTTTCCAACTGCAAATAGAGTTAGAAAGTTATACATTCCCAGGAGCAGTGCCTTCCTTGCTTAAACCAATCAAAATAAAGTAGCACCTTCACTTAAGGTCAATTATCTTTGAATTTAAACCCACTTAGAAAACAACTAAAGAATACTCCATGTTTATTGTTAATTTATGAGTGTCTTGTAAAAAAATAGTACTGTAAATACATATTTAGTACATGTATGTTAGGTTAACGTTTCTGAAATATCAGGATCCCAATTATCTTGGAGTAAAATATAAACAAATAGTAACAGTGACACGCAGGAGAGAGACGTGAACGAGGGCTGATAACCATCACACATTTGTAGCTGAATAGTTAAATACATGAGATAGAATACACAAGAAACTCGCATGGTAGCCTTTAGAAATG